TCACTCCTAAAGTCCAAGTAGCATGGCAGAAAATAAACAGCAAAGAGCAAAATCCTAAACTAAATGTATCAAAGAGCAAATTAAGAATGTGAGAAGTAGGCCTGGAGTAGCACTGGTAAAGTGATTGCCTAGGATGTGTGATACCCACCATTCAATCCTTGGCAGTGTCAAAACGAGAAGTAGGCCTTTGACTTTCTCTGGTACCAAGTACATGGTTTCAGTTCACTAAGAAAACCCTAAATGACTACCTCTGTACTCAGTGGCTAGCCAAAAAGTTTAGTGACTATAGTTTTAGGGACTTCGATCATTATGTGAACTGAGTTTGAAGTCCACGAACTGCGCCTACATTTGCTGAAACCAATCACCATGGATATGGATGGTGGGACAAGTTTTTCTGGACCTTAGGCCCATTTTCCTCCAAGTAACAGCAGAGATCAAATGTGCATGCCATTCTAAACTCCACTGTGCCTTCCATTCTCTTCTTCCGTCCCACTCATGCAGCCCTCCTCTTTTCCTACATCCTAAAACCCTCCCCTGTGCTCTTACCAAACTGTTCCACAGTTTAAACTCCCAGTGTAATCCCACCTTCTTCTAAAAGTGCTATCTTCTTTTCTGACTTAAGTCTTTTCCTGATATTACTACCCAGGTACCTTAGGGTTGGGAGTGGGCTGGTAGTATCTGATTTACTATTTCTTCTAGATCACTAGGGCAAATTAACTTGGAAAAATGCTTCTTAAAGGCTCTGCTGCTCATTATATGCTACATATTAATCTACAGTCACTCATTTGGTGAATGAAGTCAGCATCTGGTTCATAGATTTCTTTCCACCTCAAGCCTTTACATCACCCCCCATATGACTTCAACATATTTTATAACTCCTTAGAGTCTCAATTTTTAATCCCCTTATCCTCAAAATGCTATTCATTCATTTATTCTTCAAGGTCACAAATCAGATTATCAAAATAAATGAAATTATTTAGTAGTACCCTTATAGGTCTGACTTCTATCATATAAAATGCTTTTGACATTTATCCATATAGTTGAACATGTAATTCATTCCTCTTTACTGCTGAGTAATGCCATTGCTTAGATATACCATAGTTAATCCACCAGTTGAAAGTAACTATTTTTAAATTTAGCTTTCTTCATAAATCTATTGAAAGTCATACATTAGTTGGGTATGAGTACTGCTGAACTTTGTAAAAAAAAAATCAACTTAAATTCTTCAAATGATGGTAATAATAATTATTTCCTAAAGACTTTTTCAAGTATGAATTTAAATTTAATCTTTCAACTTTTTCCTTTCCTTTAAATAATAGGACACTAGAAGGATACTCATCTCATGGTTGGGGAAACATTTAATTATAATTTAGCAAAAAAAAATCTTTTTATAAAACAATTTTTACCTTAAAGTCTATGTTTATTACACTCTGTAATTTATCAAATGGATATTTAAAACAAAATGCTTTCCCATTATTATAAAAGTCTGCTAA